GCCAACATTTGTTGTTGCTAGTTGTTTGAAGATATGCCATTCTCACTGGGGTGAGGTGGTATCTCATTGTGGTTTTAATTTGCATAGACACCACTTTTTTTAAAAAGATTTATTTATTTATGCATACAGACCTGGGGTACAGGCCAGAAGTGCAGGGGTGGTGAGAGGATTCACCCGAGACAGTGGGGAGAATAGGCAGATTGACAAGTATACTGCTGAGGGGAGTAGCAAGAGAGACAGGTGAGGTTTACTGTGCCATGTGGGCCACCTCCCTGACCAGGGGTCGAACTTGTGCTATAGGGGCTGCAGCTAGCTTTAAAGTGTTGCACTTTATGCCTGTTATGCCACCAGGGAGGGCCCACAGGCATCACTTTCTATAGGACAGACTGCTATAAGCACTGAGGATATGTGATGAAACAGGTCTTACCTGCAAAACAATTGAGATGTAGTATCTATAGCATTAGATTGTGGTCAGCGCTAAAAATAAAGCAGGGAAGAAACACCCTGTGTGTGGGATGATGAAATTTTGGTGTCTGTTTCCTCAAGTGGAAATTCAGAATTAGAGTGTGAACTGGCTATCACATGTCAGGCAGGTTGTTGTTTAGAATGTTGGAGGCAGCTGGCAGTGACCTATAGATGTTCTTCCACTGATACTGGGTTTAACATTTCTTAGTGATTTAATAGTTGTGCAAAGTTGTGTGAAAACAAACATTTTTTAATGATTTGGATGTAATTTTCTGTTTGTGTTTTCTTTTAGGATTTATTTAATGCAATCAAGAGCTGGGGTATAGGCCAGAGGTCTGGGGTGGTGAGAAGATTCATCAGAGACAGCATGGGGAGTAAAACAGTTGGATCTACTGAAATACACTGCTGAGGGGAGCAGCGGGCCAGATCGGAGAGGTCTGCTGCACCATGTGGGTCAGATTCCTGGCCGGGGATTGAACTCCTGCTGCAGTCAGTGGCTGCTGATAGCTTCATAGTGCTGAGGTGTAACCCCTTGCGCCACCAGGGAGGCACCTCTGACTATATTTTCTTATGTGTACAAAATCAGTTTCAAATCTTTAGTCTCTTATAAAAAATGGTGTTAACAGCCCGCCCTTCCTGGTGGTGCAGTGGGTTAGGATGCAGCACTGCAAAGTAGCCGCCTCAGTGCCAGTTCTGTCCCTGGCCCGGAGGTGACCCACATGGCGCGGCAGACCTCTCCTGACCCGCCCACTGCTGCCCTCAGCAGTGTACTTCGTCAGTCTCTCTGTTCTGCTTCCCACTCTGTCTCTGGTGAAACCTCTCGCCACCCCCTGCACCTCTGGCTTGTAACCCAGTTCTGTATGAATAAATAAATCTTTAAAAAAAAAATGTTATTAGTCTTATGTGTTCTCTTTTGGAAAGTAAGATTTCAATATTATTGCTCATAGTTACTTCTCTACATTTTGGTTTTGAAAAATATTTTACCTGGGCCTTCCCTGGTGATGCAGTGGGTTAAAGCACAGCACTACGAAGCTAGCCGCAGCCATTTCAGCACTGGTTTGATCCCCGGCCCCGAAGGTGACCCACATGGCATGGTAGGTCTCTCCTGACCCACCCGCTGCTCCTCAGCAGTGTACTTCGTCAGGCTGCCTGTTCTGCTTCCCGCTCTGTCTCTGGTAAGGCCTCTCACTGCCCTTGTACCTCTGGCCTACACCCCAGTTTTGCATGCATAAATAAATCAAAAGAAAAATATTTTATCTTCAGAAATATTTGTTCTATACTAAGGTGTACAGCAACTCGAGAAGTACTTGTAGAACACCTATTTTATCTAAGGGGTTGTAAAGATAAAGACGAGCTAATGGGGGTTAAGAGGCAGGAACTTAATTGGTGCTATGGGGACAATTAATCAAAAGCTGATAACAGGAAAGAGCAATTATTTTCCCCTTTAATTTTTTTTTTCAGTTGAAACAATTGGAGGGGGATTTAAAAATGCAGTGTTATTTGAACAATATCTTGGAATGTTATTTTGTCTTGATGGCATCTTAATTCTTTAGAATTCAGTAATGTATTCTCTTCCTCACTGGGATAGAGTTGCTATTTTCTGCTTTTTTTTTTCCTGGTTAAAAATTTTTTAAATGTGGCCCTCCCTGGTGGCGTAGTGGGTTAAAGCACGGCACTAAGAAGCTTAAGCCACTTCAGCATGAGTTTGATCCCCACCTGCCCTGGAGGTGACCATATGGCAAGGCAGACACTGCTCCCCTCAGCAGTGTACTTCTTCCATCTGCCTGTTCTGTGCCCCACTCTGTCTCTGGTGAATCCTCTCACCCTCTGCATATCTGGCCTGTACCCCAGTTCTGTATGAATAAATAAATAAATCTTTTAAAAAATTTTTTTAAATGTGCTTAATATTTTGACTCATTTAGAACGTGTCATAGTGTTTTTTAAATATTTTTTTGTTTCTTTTTGTTCAAAGGTTTATTTATGCATGAAGAACTGGGTTGCAGGCCACAGGTATGTATGTGGGGGGTGGGGTGGGGTGGCAGTGAGAGAATTCGCCAAAAACAGAATGGGAGGTAATACAGAACTGAAATACACTGCTGAGGGGAGCAGCTTTCCAGAAGGAGAGGTCTGCTGTGCGGTGTGGGTCAGCTCCCTGGCCTGGAATCAGACATGCTGCAGATAGCTGGGTAGCGCTGAAACTTAACCCCTTGTGCCACCAGTGTTTTAGGGTGACTTGTCTATACTAATAACTAAAAAATCCTATTTACTGAAAAGTAATATCCATTTCTCTTTATATGGTTCTGATTTTTTTATATGTAAAATCTTGAAATTAAGCCTTTTTGAAAATTGTCTCTAGTAGTTAGTAAAAGGTGTATTTTTGCTTTCAATAGTCTTTATTAGAAGTTTTGGTGCCCGCCTATATAGATGAATTTCGCTAGCACTTAAGCTCTATAAAGAATTTTTCAGGGACTTTTTCTTTAAAAATTACATTTGTGTTTTACTTAAAAAATGAAAGAATTGGCCTTCAATGGCGCACGGTTAAATTGCAGCACTGTGAAGCTATCTCCAGCCACTGCAGCATGAGTTTGATCCCCAGCCAGGGAGGTGATCCACATGGCACAGAAGACCTCTCCTGTCTGGCCCTCTGCTCCCCTCAGCAGTGTATTTCAGTAGATCAGTCTGTTCTGCTCCCCACTCTGTCTCTGTTGAATCCTCTCAGCCTCCCGCACCTCTGGCCTGTACCCCAGCTCTTGTATGCATAAATAAATCTTTTTTAATGAAAAAATTCATTTCATACCCTATTAAATGCATTTTATCATTAGAAAAGGAAAATTAATTATGTTTTTATTTAGTTTTCTAT